CTCACTCACTCACTCACTCACTCACTCACTCACTCACTCACTCATTCATTCATTCATTCATTCATTCATTCTTTCTTATCCCCAGGAAACCTGAACTCAGCAGAAGGTTGTGCTTAGGAGTGCTGACAGAGCTCCTGATGTGGTAGATACCAAAAAGTTCCTGTTTTAGTCAGACATGTCCAGCTTATAGGACAATAATTTTCAACAAGTCAATAGATATAATACAACATGTCTTCAGTAGCATCAAAACTACTTTGGAAATCAAAAACAATAATAATCCGCCAATTTAATAAACTCAAACAGAATTAATTTTAGCTTGAACATCTGATAAGTAGGGAAACATACTTACCAATATATTACAGGAGCTAGGTAGAGAAATGGAATATGGAAATCTGCTCATCTTCTTGCCCCGGAAATTTGAGTCAGCAATGACTCTGGAATTAAAAAACTGTTCTAGGTAAGATCGCAGGACCCTCATATCAAAGTAATTATCTATATGACCTCCATAAATAGCATTTTCCAATAAGCCATGCACAAATTCCCATTGAAAATCTTTGGCACCTGAAATGAGTAAATATAAAACACATTAAAATGTAGCACAATGACTTGATTACAGATTATTTTATCATTAAACCTCACCTTAATGTAGCAGAGCAATTAACTCTGCTGCCATATGACTCATGTCTATGCAGATGACCTAATGGTTTCATTTAATTGTGAGATTCCCTGCATTACACATCCCTATAGAGACCTAACAACTTTAACTAACAGATTCTAGACAGTTATAATCCCTCAAAACCGCTATGGATACACTCTTGAAAGTGAACCCTATTTATCAAAACTGAGTGGAACAGGAATGTGAAGACAAATTCCAAATAGTTAGAATTCTCTTCAAGTTAGAAAAATTTCAAACATGATACCATGATCCAGCAACTTCTTACACACACAGGAACTCTTATCTGAACAAGCATTAGCCAATTAACATGAGTGTTGGGAAAGCTTATCCAAGGATTTTAATAATGCACCTAGGGCTGTCTGCAACACTTAGAATAGGTAATCCTCATACAGAATCTTTATGCTAGGGTTCATATCAAAATCTGAACAATTTACATTTTGAAAGTAAATATTCTTGGTGAGGGTACAACAGATGAACTTTTGAAAACAATGGGCATAATTCACCCAATGTTTGACCTAATTTATTTCAATGGAATAAAGTTAATTTATGTTCTTTATTTAAAACTTTCATACACTGCTTCCCATTTAAAAATCTTGAACAATTTATAATAATAGTTCTCAAAATTCCTGTTAAAATTATTTGATTTTGAAAGTGCCGGAATGCACATTATTTACACATTAAATCAATGTAAATCATTAAGAACTAATTTATATGTGTGTTTAGTTGTTAAATTTGTATCCTGACTTCCCAATGAGTTATACTCAAAGATGCTATAGCATAATATCTTCTTGGATACAAATTGGAACAATCAAAATCCTCATATCTGATTCACTTACAGTGAGTTAACTTAAGTTGGAGGACTATTAAATGTTCAATACACAAAGTAAAATCTCACAGGTCTTTAAGAGTTAATTCCTGTATTAGATTTTGCAGTGATATGGTTAAACTCATGTTTTTCAGTGTGGCTGAATATATGAATCTACAACTGGACAACAGTCATTGTTATGAGAACAATTATATTAATATTTATTTATTTATTCAGACCCATCAGTTCTATATAATTGTTCATATAACTTTTAGCTCTGAGCTTCATATTGTTGTACAAAGATTTTCCTATATAGAATAAATTCATGAATCATTAATGTGTTTACACTCATGCATTTTTTAATAATTGATTTTAAACCAACTTTAAAGGCAATCTTATTTTGAATTTGGACAATAAACAGCATAATGAATAAAGTATTTAATGGTTTCAAAAAGCTAGGCCAGACAATGAAATGAAGGTCCCTTAAGGATATGATGACTCACCATCAAAGAGTCTGTCAATAATATCATATCCTGCACGAAGATCAGATAAAGAAAATTCATAAAATTTGGTCCAGCCCTTTAAAAAAAGCATTAGCAAATAGTAAATATTAAATATACATGTCACATATCACATATCACATATCACCAAAAAAAAAATTAAAAGCAACTCTGCCAAATTTCATATGAAAAACTTAAAAGCAAAGCAAAGTAAAAGAACTAAATGCCAAGCAACTTAAAGAAAGTAAATTCTCCAGTGAACTATTGGTTTATTTCCCTATATAGTATCAAACAACATAGATTTCCATGGACTCAATATATATTTGGGAAGGCAAACGCTTTGGTTCATAAGGTTGGCTACTGGAAGACAGGCCTCCAGCCCTCCTTTCAGTTATCATGCTTTCAAATCAATGACTTCTCACTGAAGTAACCAAAAATCTGAATCAGGCTGCTGGTGGGATGTATATGCATGTGTAAGCTGCATCCCAACTTCTTCCTTTCCGGTGAATCAGCTCAACATTCTTGATTTTCCATTATTACCATTAACAGTGGAAAGCCTATCATCTATTACTCCCAGGCCAGTTAATCATACCAACAGTACATGTTAGGCAAAAAAAAAAAAAAGGGTTGGGGGAAGACATTTTTTAGCCCGTGGCTGGTGAACTGCAGAGTCTCTGTCTTCAAAGGTACTCTTGCAGTACTTACATAAATGCTATAGAGTCCAAGAACGCTAAATTAATTTTAGAAGGTTTTAACCATGGATTTCTGTTTTGGTGGGGAAAAAATGTGTTCTTTTAAATGTCTTTAAAATTCAAGATGGACATAAATACCAAACATACAGGACATAATTACTCAAAGAGGCACAACATAAGACAAACCCATCTTTAGGAAAATAAGATTAAAAAAAAACCTTATTTAAGCGATCATGGTCTCGAAGCATCAATTTTGCAAAATGATCCCTCCCCGCAGCCAGTTTTCTTAAGGCATTTATCCAAAGCAAACAAACAGTAACCATTTAAGACATCTACATGGGCTGTAGAGATTTAAAACAATTTCCTTCAACTAAGAAGGAAGTTTGGAAAAACAAGCATCAATTACAATTATTTAACAGCTCATTTTAGTCCAAGTAAATAGTTGAAGTTCAGATTAAATGAAGTTGAGATTACATCATAGGATCTGGAGTTATAATGATATATGACAATAGGTATAATGTAAATAATTTATTTACTTAGCAGAAATATTTAGTTTAAACAGAAGAAAAAAACAAATTAAATTAGCCTACCCCCTTAAGGTGTCTGTACTATAATAGCCTTTATTTTCAGTACTGTTTTATATGATCTTGGCAATCAAGAAAGCAATTACTATACACAATAATTGTTAATATAGGGAAGAAACATGAATAGCACAACAGTACATTAAATGTGAAGGAAGAAATAGTAGCAATTAAAAAAAACACCTCTTTACCTGAGGGATATAATTCCTTCGTTCTTGACAAGCCGCATGAAACCAAGCCAGGCTAAAAAGAGCATGAGCTCGAGCTAAATTGCCCTTTTTACTAATTTGTTCTGGCGTCCAAGATTCATATGTTCGCATTAGGTTCTTTTTGAGGCCTGGAGGTGCCTGGAAGAGAAAATAATGACTTGGTGTTAAAGTTTGGTGATTGGTATCATGAAGAATGCAAGCAAATGTCTGTACAATATAGCCTTCTGCCCCTTTCTTTTTATTTTAGTTTATTAGATGCCCTCAAAAGAGAAGTTGCAGGAAGCTGCGATGGGACTGAGAAGTCAAATGGCACCACATGTAGAACATGCTTTTCAAAGGATACACAAGGTTATAGTGGAGAAAAGGACACATGGCATCTCTCTGTAATTTGGGATGCAATCCTAGATATTATCTTAAGTCAGGGTTCCTCAACCTTGGCAACTTTAAGACGGGTGGACTTCAAGTTCCAGAATTCCCCAGCTGGCTGGGGAAATCTGGGAGTTGAAGTCCACCCGTCTTAAAGTTGCCAAGGTTGAGGAACCTTGTCTTAAGTGACACTCTGTTTGGCATTGTAATTATGTTGCTAAGTCTTGCCAATAAGGCTGGAGTTACTTAAGAGTTTCATATCTTACTTCATATGTTATCTTCAGACTTGATTGGAGTAAAATGGGAGAAAAACTGGGATGGACTTCAGCTGTCAGCCAAAGACGAAACCCAGGCTGGGGCTGTAGGTTATTCAGTTCCTATTGTAAAAGAATTTATGTTCAAAATTTAAAGCAATGCTTTACATTCTAATGTTGAATTGCTCTCTGAAAAATATGGACAACAATTACATTTAACAGACTGAAAAACGGTACTAAAAACAGACTGAAACACAAGTACTATTTCTTCATAAATAGTTTGAGAACAATCTTGTTTTTACCCCTGATATGAGATGATTATGTTCTTTATAAGTGATAGTTTGAGAAAAGCCAGGAGTTGAGACCATGTTTTGTCTTTGGCTTATTTTGACTAATTATTTTCTGAGTCTGGATGTCAAAGGGAAGAAAGGAGGAGAAGACATATATGCAAATCAAAATTTCATATATAGTCAAAATGAGAAACAATGTCTGAACTGGTCTTCCAAAAGCATTTTTGCTTTTGTTGTTTGAATACCATGAATGGAAGGAATAATTTATGCCAACTGTAATTATATTTTTCTGCCAGTTAATTTTTGAACTATAAATATATTTGTTTAATATGAACTACAGGTGACTTCCTGAATAAATTATCTGTGGCTTTTTTAAATATTTCAGCAGTATGTAACATCCTTTCCCCCCTCTCTGTCTTTATTACAAATATCACTGTAATGATGGAGTTCATATTTGCTATACACACATTTCTAGGAGAATAATTTAGGGGAGTCTGACAATTTGTCATAACAACAAATAATTTGTTTAACATAGTACACTCCATTTTCTATGTCATCATGATACTGTTTGTACATATATTTAAATTGCTGTAACTTTTACAATATTAATCGTATCAAATACACTTGGGAGCAGTTAGCAAAAGTGATATAACTCTTGCTAAAGCATACTTGGATCTGAGGTCTTAGAAGTACTACACCTTTAATCTGTTCAGAATTTAAAATGTCACAAATGCTACCCCCAAATTAAGTAAATCTTCTTTAGTTTTTGTGAGACTGGGGAACTGGGCTATAAATGAGAGTGGGTGGAGTATACTGACAGCCTTCCTTCCTTCCTTCCTAGAAGAAATATAACTGGAAATGCAGAGCAACCAGAGCTGGGAAATAATTTAGGAGGAAGCCAGATCCAAACAAGGTTACTATATAGTAGAAAGAATGTGGATACATGAGTATATAGTAGAGAGAATGCCCATGAAGTAAGTGATCAAACCAGTAAGAGGAAAGTAAAGAAGGATACTGATAAAGTGTGGTTATAATGGAATTCCCTGTAATAGAAACCTTAGAAATGATGGTTTCCAAATTACTGCAAGGTTGGAACATCTGTGCATTCCTTTCTTATCAAGCAAATGGGTAGCAATTTCTCCCCTGGGTCAAGCAGTAAAAAAAGAGGATCAGAGGATCAAAGAGGCCCTTCTTTAATGTACTGATGAATGGGATGCTAAATATATATACAATTTCCAAGATTCTGTGACTTACCCCCCTTTTTCCAATAAAATTGGGTTGGATTCTTTGAGAATTTAGTTTTCTCAGTGGCAAGCAGCTATTAGGGACTTGAGAATCATATTCTTGGTTTCCATTTATTTAATAGTTAGGAGCCAACAGAATCACAAATCACCAAGATAACCATGGTTTTTTAATTAATCTGTTATGCTTCGAAATAAATCTGGACTCTCCCAATCCAACCAATCCCTAAGAATCCTTTATTCTAAGGTAAACTAATAACTGGGATTATTTGGCACACAAGAAATTTACTACAAAATCCTTGAAAGATTTATTTTAAATTCCCACTGAGTGCAATGTAACTTTCTTTCTGTAAAGTGTAAGAGGATTGCAATCTATTCTTTTTTTAATTTTATTAAGAAGGTTGACAGATGAATTGTCCTGGGCAGTACAGTAGTACGAATCACACTCTTTTCATCTGCCATGGAAAACAGCCCAAAGGCTTCTGAATTATGCATAATATCTTACCTTTTCCAGTATGGGAAGCCATGATACAACAAGGTGCAAATTCTTCAAGCACAGCCATTCTCCATTCCGGGCACAATCTTTTACCATCTGAATAGCTAGATCAGCTTGACCCTGGCCCATAGCCACCTACAAAAGATGGTGGAATGTTGTACTTTTCCCATATGAAAAAATGTATATATCTGTAGGAGTCTTGCAGATGAAGCACCGAAGAACTGAATTCTAACACTGTGGCTAATATTATGACATTGAAATTGTAATAATGGCACAAAATGTCAAGTGTGAAATTACTGCTGTTTATTTATAGATAATTCTGGATCATATTTGTAATTAATGGAAATCATTAACTGGTAGTCTCAGAGAAGATGAGTTATCTCATACATAAAATATAATGGAAGCAACATATCAATTAAAGTATCATTTCCATTTATCCTGTATCTTTATTATCATCAGAATTGTTTCAGTACAGCTTATAAAGAGGAGAAAGGTCTTTTATTTTTTAGATAACTGAATATAATATAATACATTATAATACATATTATATTATTTTGCTTCCCTGCATGGTTCATTTATTTATTTGTGGCTTTCTTAGTAGCTAGACATATTTAATTGTCTTTCAGAGGACAATGTGACAAGGAGGAAAGCATGAATTTGGTTTTTTTTTCACTTATCTATTCATCTGAATATCTGAATTTAAGGGTGCAAGGCTCTATTTTTTTTAACTGTAATTCAGTAAATGGAGTAGACTGGACTATTTCAGGAAATTTCTTCTCTCATCAATACCCTCATCAACTGTTGTGGAATGCCATCCTCAATGTGTCTTGTTAAGCTCAGATTTATGTCTTCTTTCAAGGACAAAAAAGAAACATTATTTTTAAAAGAACCATATCCAGGACAAATTCAAACGCCACATAGTATGCTGCTTGTTTTACAGATTACAGAATACATCCCTTCCGTGTAAATACAAAAGTTCATTAAAAAAAATATTCATTTTCTATTCTGATTTGAAGGTCTTTCAGAAATGATCAAAAGTTGGCATGAGATTCTATTTGCTAAAGTTAACACACACAATAACGCTATGTCATATACAGGTAGTCCTCAGTTAATGACCACTCATTCAGTGACTGTTTGAAGTTGCGATGGCACTGAACAAGTGGTACTTATGACTGGTCCTTGAAGTTCCGGCTGTCACATTACCCCTGAGGTCCCGTGATTGTGATCCAAGCTCTTGGCAACCGGCTGACACGAGGGCTGCAGTGTCCCGCGGTCATGCGATTGCCATTTGCGACCTTCCCTGATGGCTTCCCGGCAGGGAAGGTTGCAAGTCACTCCCACTGCTTTCTCTCCCAGGCTCCCATGGATCTTGTACTCCATAGCATGCTTGCACCACAGCACGCCCTCCCCAGGCCACACACCCATGTGGCTCTGCAGCAACCCCTCCCCAGTCTGCACTTGTGTGGCTCCACAGCAACCCCTCCCTTCCCCAGCCCACAGCTCACTGCAGCACCCTCCCTGCCTCGCTCCACAGTACTCACCCACCCTCTGGCCTGCTTGCAAGCTGCCCGGGAGTTGCAACTTCCACCCAGCTTCCCCATTGACTCTGCTTGTGGAAAGCTGGCAGGAAGTCACAAGTCACAGTCGTGTGAGCTCCTCACTTAAGAACCCACAATTTTTGTTTAAGGATGGCAATGAGGACTGCCAGGATTGCCGTCACTAAATGATGTGGTCATGTGATGTTGCACTTTATGACCACATCGCTTAGCAATGGAAATTCTGGTCCCAATTACTGTTGTTAAGTGAGGACTACATGTAATACAAATTTGGCTTGATATATCATATTAACAGATGAATTGTTGAGAATTTAGAACTTTTATTACTTTATTGAACAAATGCCTGATTTTTTTCTATTAATTATTTTTATTAATATTTTTATGTTGCAAACCCCTTTAAAAGATGAATGAAAGAAGTAAACATATTGATTCTTTGTCTTCATAAAACTTTTTATCCACTTATTCAAGCCACGTTATAGGTTAAGAGAAAACCTGCAAAGAGGCTTTATATATAACCTTAATATGTACTTTATGTCATACACACACCAAGGAGCAAGTGTAGATTCAGCTATGAATCAATATAATAAGGTAAGGTAAGATAAGGTAAGATGGTAAATTGTGTGTTTTTCCTCGGACTGGTGCATGTAAGTGACTCACCTGGTGGTAGCATTCTCCATTTCTTTCAATGCTTGCAAGTTCCTGTAATTCCTGAGAAGGGTCAGCACCAGGGGAAATAATAATTAAGATTGGTTCAATTTCTAATGTTTCTTTGTACAGGCGTTTCAGATTGAGTGGTGGTGGAGACAGCTCTTTAATCCCTAGAAATAGCAAGTATTTACAATAAAATAAAGTAACATAAAATTCCAGTAAAGCTACAAATGCATTTTGAATTGCTATTCTTAGCTGAATTGTCCACAGAATAATGTCCTTAATTTTCTCAAATTCCTTACCCCTCCAACATAGCATAAATCTTTGATATGGATATTTTATAAAGTCATAGTATAAAATCAGAGAGTAACCTATGATAGATTGGATTCAGTCACATCTACAGACCCTTCTTTTTGCTGATGTTGAAGCTGTTAACTAAAAAAAGCTTATGCTGAAAACTTTAGATAACAATACTGTAATTCAGGTATGTGCTCATACAAGTTTCAGAAATGCAAGACAGATCCATTTTGGAAACCTCCATGTTAACAATCATGCTATCTGTACTGGTAAAATACACATCCCTTAAAAAGTTTTCTCCTAATAATAACTTCCTGGTAGAACCACTGTAGTACAAATTCCAGAGTATCTGTTGAATATTTTTCAATCTCAAATTGAAGCTCAGGGTTGAACTGTGCAGTCCTTGGTGCTCTCTGAGCTTGGCTGTTTGCTTGCAGACATTTCATTACCCAGCTAGGTAACATCATGTTGAGAGAGCACCAAGGACTCCACATTTTTCAAACTACTTTGGGAAAGCACAGGTTATTGCCCTAAGTTCTAATTTAAGATAAGCATCCATAGATAACATCCACCAGCATGACAAATAAAATACTAGTCCTGAGACTATGAAGTAAAAAAAAAAAAAGGAGTTACAAACTAGTGCTATGAATGCTTTGTAAATTATGTGCTTCAGAACTCACACGTGTGCAAGCATAGCACCCCTCTGCTATTCATTAAAGCATCCAAATCTTTTTTTCAAGCTATGTGAGCTTCAAAAAAAAGTGTTATCTACTTTAATTGAATAGCAGAAAATTGCTGTCTTTACAAATCACTTCTTCCAGGGTGTGCTCAGCTCTGATGCAAACCCACACACTGCATAACCTTCTATCAGTGCCAGGCAGTTAAACAATTTGGGGGAATGGACAACAAAAATGAACATGTCTCAGCCTATCTTTTCCTTTCTTCTTTATCTTGAGTGCTTATAGGCTGCTTTGGCTGCCAGTATCCTTCCTGATTCAATTCAAGGTGTTGGTAGTTACCTATAAAGCCCTTCATGACATGGGGCCAGTTTATTTAAGGGAGTGCCTCACCTACCTGCACCTACCTGTCCCTACCTCACCCATCAGACCTGGCAGGAGAGGCATGCTGTGGCTCGTGTCTATTAAGGAGTGTCATCTGACTGGATCCAGGAAAAGAGCCTTTTGTATTGTGGCACCGACTCCTTGGAACATCATCTAGGACTGGGAGACTAGATTAGCTCCAACCCTACTGGCCTTTCATAAAGCCTTGAAGACTTAGCTATGACTCTGGGCATGGGGATTGCAATGTATGGTAAAGCCAATGAGGTGGTTATGTTGATCGTTGTTTGATGCCAATCGTATATTTATTGTTATGTTGCTGTTTTGCTGTATTTTTAACTGTCGTTAGCTGCCCAGAGTTATGACAATGAGATGGATGGCACTTTCTACATACATACATACATACATACATACATACATACATACATACAGTACTTAGGTATATACATGTGCATGTGGAAGCCTGCCTTATTTATTACTTTTTAGATGAATCAAAATAGAAATACATATTATACTGCATGTATTCTGAAAAAAATAGCAACTCACCCAAAGCTTTACAAGCAAAAAGGGCCATTGCACTCTGTAGCCTATCTGGTCTGACAGCCTGGACCACAAGGACCTGCAAGTAAAAAAGTTCACATCAGGATTCTCAGCACATTAGCAAACATCACGTAACACTTCCACACATTTGACACAAAGAGTTGGACAAGTGAAATGTAACATAAAGATTATGATTTTCAAAATTATAGGCTTTCCAAAAACACTTGATAAAGTTGCTTTTAATACTACTTAAGAAATAAATTAATCCACTGTTTAATTAGTAGGAGAGATAAGTAATGGAAAATAATGCCCCTTGTACAATTCTGCATGGCATATAGAAAGTGCATAGAATAAAGAGTTCCTAGAACTTAGAATCATGCAATGAACTTTATGGTAATTGTTTTAGACAATTGTTCCCAGATTCCTCCTCATCTGGGCTGAATTGCCATTTATGAGACAACTGACTCACCCACTGCTATCTCTTTCATCCTTTTCTCAGCCTTCCTACAATCTCTTATAACAAGACTGATCTCAGTTTTGATATAGCAGACATTTGTAGCATCAACTCAATTCCAAAAAAATACTGCAATGTTTCTAGCACTTGTCTTTCATTTAAGAAAGTTTTCTGGTTGATTTACTCTAGGCATTAAGCAGTTAAAAGAAACATTTTTGTTATGTTTCATAGATGAGATCTGAAGGTACAGTAGATATTTAATGAGAATAGCACATTCCTTAAATAATATGAATACATGATATATTCTTTAGAGAAGTCTCTTAAGTGCAGGGCATGAATGAGAAAGTATATAAACTATTTAAATAGTGCCATCAGCATTAATCAGCCTCTTAACAGAGACAACTCCAATTAAAATCTGATTAAAATTGGCAGTTTTGAATCTATGGCTATTAAATGAATATATTAATTCCACTGTTCAATCAGACAATATTTTACTCTCAACACTTTATTAAATGGCAACTTGAGTGAGCTTGTAAAAGCTAGCCAGGCAGCTAAATTCAGGGAAAATAAGCTAACATATAGGAATAACATTCAAAAGGATAGCAGCATTTTCAGTAGTCATACAATAAACATTCTGTTGACATATGTAAGTAGGTATAAAAAGTAGGCATGACTATTTGGTGAGTATATGCTTAGGCAAAGATCTCTTTTGAATACATGGTTCAAGCACAGATCTATTCTGAGGTACAAAGAGCAAGGAAGGAATATAAACTTAAATGCATGATTAATCAGATTGTTTGTGATTAAAGATTTTTAAAAAATAGTGAAGAGTACAAAGATGAGAGATTCTGAATGTGGGACAGACCATTTTTTGATACTGTCATAAATGGATCTTGGGAAAAAATGGGCAAGGGAGAAAGGAAAGAAGTTAAAGAAACAAGTGAAATGACAGGAGGAAAAGGAAATTCAAGAAGAAATACTATAACAGATTATTCTTCGAAATGGAAAGCTGACATAAAGAAAGCAAATGTGGTAGTTGCTTGGAGCAGAGTGAAAAGAATTTCATTAGAAAAGTACCACAGGTCTGTGAAGTTGCACTAATGGGAATTATGAAAAAAAGATGCTTAGTGGAATGATGAAATGAAGAGATTGTAGATGAGAAAAAAATGAATGTAAGAGAAAGATTGCTGCAAAAAATGAGATAAATTTAACAAAATATTATTTTTCATGTTTACTGGGTGCCCAAAAGAATCCTTAAAAACCACTGGCTAATAAAGTAATTGTGTTGGAAGTTTAAACTGGATGAGGCGACACTTATTCATACTTTGCCTCATTTTACTTTGATATCCATAAATTTGTTAATCTGGTATTACAAAGATCAGTATAACTGAAATATGTGAAAATACTATTGAATTACATACCAAACTTCTGAAATTATATGAAGAATATGGATTTATTGAGTATGGAGGCAACAGAAAAGATCACCCTTCAATGCTGGAAAGACAATGTCAGCTCAGATTTACAACTTTAGATCATCAATTTGTATCTGTTTTATGTTTATGAGCTGGTTCTATCATGGGAAGACTGATTGATATTATTTTTGTTTTTTTTTTCCTGACCTTTTTTTGGGAGGGGTATATTGAAGCAATACTTTAAAAAAAAAGAAGAAAGAAAACCAATAATAGGTCAAAATGGTGAAGCCTCTGGCTGCAGGAAGGCTATCTGCCTTAGGTCTAAACAAATATGCCACTGCATGATCTTTTGTACTCTGCTTGTTTCTGTTCACCTGTTCTTGCAGGATACGTTAAGGCAGCTGGCTAAGAAGCTGACTAATGGTTAAACAGAAGGCAACCTTATCTGCAATTCAAATTTAGTAGCCAGTCCAGAGTCAGCTTCAAGTCAATACCCCTTCATGGATCACTGCCTTGTCGTGGCGAAGGGGCTTGCGTAACTCAGTGAAGCCATGAGCTATACCGTGCAGGGCCAC